TCAAAACAAAACTCCCTGCCCCTGGTTTCCCATGGCATTGCCAGCCCTCCTATTTGGAGCTGGCAGCTGAAGGCAGGGGGACCCAGGTCTCCTTGTTTGAACCCCAGATCTCACCACCGCACCCCAGAACAGAGAGTATCTTGCTTCAGGATTTACTAAACTGTGACGTGAATTCAAACATCTTCAGGGAACTGAAAATTCGTGAGTGTGAAAGCTTTCCCATTCATAAAACGGCCTCACTGTCTTAGATCCTTGTTCATTAAGTCAGTTTTTGTAAAAGGCAGTTTCTGAGCTCAGTGTTAATAAGTCCAGGGATACTGTCGTTTAAAATTAGCTCCACTGTATCCAGAAAGGCCTGGATGTAACTTTTTTCTTAGGACTTGATTATGTTCTCCTGCTATTTGGCTCAGGGGCAGACTTCTCTCCTGGGGCTGGTGCAGAGGGCAGGCCAGGCTGAGCACTGCAGGGCACTCAGGCTCCGACCCGGAGGGCATGACATCACACCTCACCCCACCTTCTCCGTGGGGGCAGGGGAAGGGGGCAAATGAACTGAGGCTTCCTTGAGACCCTGGGAGTGGGTCTTAAAAATCCAACCTCACCCTGTTCAAAGAGAAGTAGAAAGAACCCCTCATTGGAGAGAAAAAGGTCTTGGATTTGTTGCATTTGCCCAAATCCAGCAGCAAATGCTGTTGGGCCTACTTTCAGAATATATCTCGAATCTAGTCGCCTCTCCTCATCACCTCTAACGCTGCCCACCTGGCCTAAGCCATCACTTCTTGTCTGGATTATTTTAACAGTCTCCTCACTGGTTTTCCTGCTTCTGTCTTTGCCTCTGAAAGGCCTATTTTCCACCATCAAAGCAGACAGAGGGATTCTTTTAGAATCTGTTGGATCACGTCACCCTACAAATGGCTTCTATCTCACGGTAAAACCAGGTCCTTACATGGCCTACAGGTCACACTGCCTGGTACCTCTGACGTCATCTCCACTCTTCCTTCCATTACCTGCTCCAGGCCCATTGATCTCCTCACTGTTCCCCAAGTGCACAAAGCAAGCTCCTGCCTCAGGGCCTTTGCACCAGCTGTTCCCTCTCCTTGAACACCCTTCTAACAGATCCCTTTCCTCACATACTCCATTCCAATACCGCATCCTCCCCCGGCCAGTCCCTCTAAAACACACCCCTACCCTTCTATTCCTTCACTCTGCTTTATGTTTCTTCACAGCACTTACTGCTATCAGATGTTATATTACAGATGGAGTTTTTTTTTCACTTTTGTATCCTCAGTGCCCAACACAGTGTCTGGCATATGTCAGGTACTCAATAAATATTTGCCAAATTAAAAAAAAAGTGCCTTATTTAGTTCAATAAAGCCATAGAAACTCTCTGAGTATCAATTTGCTCAGTGGTAAAAAAGGGATAAAAGGATGGTTAGTTGTGAGAATATATATTTATTTAGAGATTAAATTTGTGAATTTTGAAACGTTTTTGTTTTGAAATCATTTGAGACGTACAGAAAAGTTGCAAAAATACTGAAACAATTCCCATATACTCTTCACCAACAGTCCCTAAATAGTATCATTTTACCACGTTTCCTTCATCATTCTCTCTTTGAATATGT